CTTGAGAGGTTTATTTTGAAAGGTTTATTTTGAGAGGTTTATTTTGGGAGGTTTAGCTTGAGAGGTTTATTTTGAGAGGTTTATGTTGGGAGATTTATTTTGAGATGTTTATTTTGAGAGGTTTATTTTGAGAGGTTTATTGTCCGAATTAGCTTGAGAGGTTTATTGTCCGGATTAATTTGAGAGGTTTATTGTCTGGATTGTTGACCGGAGTTGTAAACCGGCTAAGTGATAAACGGTTTAGTCTTAAACCGGACAAACCTTGAACGGATTGATGAACAGTTTAGTCTTAAACCGGATAAGTCTTGAACAGACTATTGACCAGATTTGTTATCCGCTCAATATGATTTATTATTCTAAGTGTTAAACCGTTCAATGAATATTTGGGGTGTTGACGGATTTGATGTCCGGACAAAGTAGACTTTTTGTCTAAAGTTGTAAACCGGATGGTTGTTGACCGGATTTGATGTCTGGACAAAGTAGACTTTTTGTCTAAAGTTGTAAACCGGATGGTTGTTGACCGGATTAGTTGACCGGATTTGTAAACCGGGTAGTTATTGACCGGACTTGTTGTCCGGATATCTTTGTTGAAAATTTTATAAGTTTTTAAATATTTATTTTATTTATTTATGATTTACAAAAATAGTTATTTTATATCTTTTAAAATAAATGGAATGTTCCTACCAAGCGTGGTGACGTAAGTCTGTTTTGGTATTGGAACGGGATTTTAGGAAATGTTTCTACCAATCGTGGTGACGTAAGTCTGTTTTGGTGCGAAACTATATTTTGAGAAACCTTCCTACCAAGCGTGGTGACGTAAGTCTGTTTTGGTACGAAACTATATTTTGAGAAACCTTCCTACCAAGCGTGGTGACATAAGTCTGTTTTGGTATGGAAGTGAGTTTTAAAAGGTAGTTCCCCCAGACGTGGTGACTTATGTCTGTTCTGGCTTGGAACTGGGATTGAGTACTTTCAGACGTGGTGACTTATGTCTGTTCTGATAAGTAGCTCTGTTAAATTGGAGGAATAAGGGTGACATATCAAGGAGAGGTGTACTTGGAACAAGGGTGACATTGTCATATGTGGATGATATTATTATAACTCTTATAATTATTACTAAATTGGAGTTAATAACTTTGAATCATCATTTCTTTGTGACCTGATGAATTAGAGATATTATTTCTATTTAGAAGTAATAATTTAGATGTTATTRAGAAGGGGAAAACGGTTTGTCATATTGGGCAAGTTTTGCCTTAAATCTTTCCTGTTAAAGGAATGGTATTTTCATTCAAAAAGTTTTGGATATTGGGAATGTTAGATCTCTGTTTAGAGATATTTTAAAGAAGTGAGAATTTTTGGATATACTTCTTTATATATGATATTGAAAGCTGCATATTTGTTATATTGCGGTATCTTTCTAAAGCCAAAATTACATTATCATATTTTGGTGTTTGGCACCCTGCATTTGCAAACAGGGGATTTACTCACTAGACCCGTATGGTCTAACCCTCATTTTCTGTTTTAAATTATGCAATGCAGGAATAGTTGGGTTCGGGGATATTAAAGGGAAAGGGAAAATGTGATTATTTTCCTAATCTGTTTCCTGCTTTTGAAGATACATGTTGTAATTCATGTAGTAGTACAAGATTAGTTTTGGAATTTTTATATGTAGATTTTGTACATATAGCAATCCATGTACTAGTGGGACCATTTGATGTAATCCATGTTTCTAAGTAATGAAATATGTGTTTTATGCAAATGTGGAGTATGGGGTGTTACATCAAGTAACTCTAAATCATAGAGTGCGTTAACAATAAAATTGAAGCGCCTACTTTATAGATTAAAGCAAAACAGGCGGTATGGTATACTCTCCTAAGCGAATACTTAATTAGGAAGAGATATAAGAACGATGAACCATGCCCTACCGTATTTATAAAGAAAACAGTTCTAAAATTTAAATCGTAGCTCTATATGTCGATGTTATGAACATAATATGCACTCTTGATGAAATAAGAGAAACCACAAGCTACTTGAGATCTAAATCTGAGATGAAAATCTTGGAAAACTTGGTTTTGTCTAGCTATTTGAGCTAGGACAACGAGTTTGTGGAATATTATTCCACCGATTTGCATATGTCCAGAAAATGATCAAACTATTTAATATGGACAAAGCGCATCCGACAAGACTCACATGATCGATTGAAGTGTTGGATATAAAGAAAGATCCATTTCGTCTAAAAGATGATGATAAAGAGGTGTTGAATATGCGCATTATTGTACTTAGCACAATACACTTGACCACCTATTGTATCTCTCAATGAACTTGTTAGCTAAATTTAGTTCAGCGCCAATGCAACATCATTGGAATGATATGAAGTTAATCTTTTGGAACCATTAACGTGGACTTATACTTTCCCTACAGAGAGAAATGGAATTGGTAATGGAACTTCAATACCTACTTAGATAGTGAATGACAAAAGTACTAGCCCTTATAGAAAAACATCAAACAATATCTTGGTATGTATTTGTTGATATTAGGTATCTATATGACTCATAAAAAGGTTGTTCCTCGAGTGGATAAGGAATTACCATAGGGAACATGCCAATAGCTTAGGAATAAACTAAGCAAACCCTTGTGGCTACCTTTTCGAATTATTATAAGAATATTACATTACATGAGACTATTAAATAGTGTACATAGTTAAGGATTATCATTACACGTATTAGAGGAGTTAGTGTTTTGAGTCCATCCAATACCTTGCCTGCATTTATGGAAATAATGCATCGTGCATCAAAGAATTGAAAGTAAACTACATCAAGGATGATAACACAAAATATATTTTGTTTAAGTTTTTATACAATCAGCAATAACAAACTCCTCTCAAGATTCACATAAATCAAATAAGATGGAGGAGAATGTAACATATTTGCTTACCAAATCATTACCTAAAACCACATCGAAGAAACATGTAGAAAGTAGGAATGCATAAACTTTTCAAATTCCATTGATTAATGTACAAAAAATCAAGGGGAATAGTAGACAAAAGGGGGAGTCTACCATATATGTAATGTTGGTATGTTGTGTTATTTTCTTCAACCAAGGTATTAATTTTCCCATTAGGTTTTGTTTCTTGGTGTAAGGTTTTAGTGAGACAATAGTTTATATATCATTCTGTTTTCTTAACTCTCATGATTAATGTACCAATGTAAGAGAATATTAGACTAAAGTAAAAGTCTATGTATCGTAAAAAAACTRGTACATTGTGCTCTTTCATTGGTCCCATTTTATTTTTTCTCATTGGGTTTTTATTTTGACGTATGGTTTTAACGAGACAATAGTTGTGCATCATCACTCATTTGACTCGACACAAGAAGGAGTATTATAAGATAAATGTGTCATCATCTAAAAGATATGATGATAAAATTAGAGACAAATACATTACAGTCAAATTACAACTAAAATATCTCGTAACTATCTATTTGTAACTCTTCTATATATAAAAATACAGAATTAATAAAAAAGTTCTTTGTGTTATATTGTTATTCTATTCCGTTTAATCTATAACAAAATAGGTGATTTTGCAAATGTCCTTTCATATCACTGGTAGTGAGGTAGAGAAAGGGTTTTGGACAAATTATTAACGGCGGAATAATGGCGTCGACGAGAGGAGGGACAATGGCCGGGAGGATCCCGGAGATGGAGAAGATGAGCGTCGAACAACTGAAAGCAATAAAGGAACAAACCGATCTAGAAGTCAATCTTCTTCAAGACAGCCTCAATAACATCCGTACTGCCACCACTCGTCTCGATCTCGCTTCCACAGCCCTTCAAGATCTCTCTCTCCGACCTCAAGGTCTTAATTATTTCATATCTATACGTATGTGTTTATGATGCTTTGTTGATTCAATTCATAATTTCCTACGCCATGTTACAGGAAAGAAAATGTTAGTTCCATTAACGGCTTCGCTCTATGTTCCTGGCACCCTCGATGATGCTGAAAAAGTTCTTGTTGACGTTGGTACTGGTTACTTCATTGAGGTCCGTACGCTTATTTTCTATTTGGCTTTTAATTGCTTGCTTTTACTGCTCCATTATTACAAGAAAAGCATGGCTTGATTTCTGAGGTGAAGCCCGATACTAGTTTTTTGGTTTGATATTGCAAATATAAACTCCCTCAGATTTTCATTCGTAGCATCTGTTGTAAAACCTAGATTTTGATGTTTTCTTTTGGAAAGATTTTCACCCTGATTGTGAGTTAGGAGGAGGAAGGATGAGTTGAGAAGAAAGGGATCCCATTTTATTAGCCTATGCTTGTAGTTTTAAGATGGGTCATTCTTTTAGCAACAGACACAAGTTACTTATTTGTGTTGGAGCATATTCAGGCTATAAAGAACAACTTTTCCGATATTCACAAACCTGAAGAGTCTTCGAACTTGTTTGACACTCTTTTTGGTTGAGTCCCGTGTGAAGTTTAAACATTATAACTGTTGGCCATTCATTTATTTGCAAAGTATTCGATAAGACTATTTGACAAGTATCATTTTTGTCATATATCTTGGGAAATCCTTTCAGCCACAAGACAAATGTTTTGGGCATAGAAAGAAGCAAACTTATCGGTTCCGTTTAAATCCACAGTAATGGTGGTCATTGCTACGCACATGGTTAACTTTTAAAGGGGAAAATTCTAACATTCTTTTCTTTCCTCTCTTCTTAGACTTTCTTCAGTTTCAGAATTTTTTAGTCGAATATAAATAAACACGAGGATACAAAATTTGTTCATTCTTCTTAATTATAGCTCAAAAGATGCTTACAGTTTATGCTCATCCTCTTTTTAAATTTTTTACGAGCCAACAAATACAAAGAAAACAAAATCAAAATTGAAAACATTTCAAAATCCAAAAACAAAAACACTGTAAAACCTAGAAAACCCAAAACTTTAGACTTTTGCAAATCAACTCACAATGTCGTTTTACACAAAAATATATATGTACTAAATCACGAAAACTCTTCAACTTGGTTGAAGTGAAAATACAAATAACACATGAACAAAGATCCTTTTAGCAAATCTAGAAAATCAATTTAGTATAAAAATCAAAACCCATAAATAAGTTGGATTTCCATGAAAGCAAATGATCCATAGAAGTAGTTTCCTCTGCATTCTGTATAAAAAGCAAAAAAAAAAAAAAACCGGTGATACCATTTAAAACATTTTTATTGGTACTTTTTCTATACAAGTCAACAAATTTGTTTTGAAGTATTGATTACACATTCCTTTCTTGTTCCTTACCCTACCTCCATCGTTGATCTAACAATGATGTGTGATTTAGACTATCATTGGTTAATGCTCTTCAATATCATAAGTTATTTTGTGGGTTAAGGTTTGTTTTTACAGACCATGAAGAATATGGGTACTTCTTTCGGCACAAATATAAAAACCAATGACGATTCAGAACCAATTATGTGATTATTATTTGAAGTTGAAGCAAGAAGAAGGTGAAGATGAAGATTAGAAATATGTGTGAAATCTGCATTTTTACCCCTTCCAAAATGGTCATGTGCTAAGCAGGATGATCAACTTAACACTTCTTTGAACAAATACATGAAGCTGGATAGTTTTTGTGACCGAAAAATTTGCTCTACTAACGGGATTTCCACACATGAATGCAAAAAGGTTACTTGTCAAATAGTCTAGTAGTAAGCCATGTACTTTACTCTTTATTTTGTTATGGTACTTTGGGTATTGTAAACATCTTATTCTTCAAAAACAATTTTTTGACTCATCCAACTTGGTCAACTTTGATGGAAATAACCTCCATATTAATATTTTCCCTCCCTTATGTTAATAGGTATACAAATAATTATTTTGTAGAGATTTTTATCGAGATCCTCTCCAAAGCAAGGTTGTAACGAAGTTCATAAGAATTATGAAGATTAGAATTAGTCTAGTTGATCTCAAAATCAAAGTGTAACTCATCTTTAAACATGCAATATTAAGTAGTATTACATAGATTTCACACATGATATGAAGGCCATGTTACTTGATATTACCAATGATCTACTTGACTCTTCAAGTTTTAGCTTAGTTAATGATGGTTTTTTTGCAAGAAAGTAGTGGAAGACCTTCTTTAAGCATGGGGTTTCTCTAGTCGTTTTAACTGAATCGTATTTGTAGAAAGGCCTTAGAAGACAACATATTTCGTATTACATACCTAATTTCCCAATTCTTCAACCTAACATCTCCTCTCTCTCTTTCTCTCTCTCTCTCTCTCTCTCTCTCTCTCTCTGTATATCTGTGTCATAGAAAACAATGGAAGAAGGGAAGAATTATTATGAACGTAAAATCAACCTGCTGAAATCAAACTATGACCAACTTTTAGAGGTATGTTTTCTTTTAAAATTTCTCGTATTTTAATAGTGTGTTTTCTTATAGCATGTAGGCACCTATTGAGTTGCTATTAGGCTATTTAAAGTAGTTAGCTAACTCGCAACAACTTTAACTACTTTCTTTGTTTAAATGTAAGTACTTAGTCAAATATAATGCTTCTTATGATCTTATCCATGTTCCATTTCATAGTATTCAATGATAAGCACGATCTTTTACTTCTCATCATCCATGGCCTAGGAATTAGATGTAGCTATATACCACATATTTTCATTTACACCCATAAAATTGATGGAATGACTAATAAGTTATGCTCTTGTTCTTTTACTTCAACGCTTGTAGCACATGCCGATGTCTTACCTATAACATCATGGATACTCTAGAAGATATGAAATTTTTCTGCTTCAAGTTTGGAATAAATGAGGAAAGAAGCATATAATGAGGTCAAAATGATCAACCTTTGTAGGATTGTAGCTAGATTGAAAACTCTTCATCATTTGCAAATAGATTGGAAACTGACTTAATCCTTTGGATTTTGTAAGTGAATTTAGTTTGGATCAACACTCTTGGTTTCGGTTTTCTTCATGTATCGACATACATGGAAGCTACAATGAACTACATTTGTATAATGTGTCTTATTGTGTACTCTAGATGAACCTTTTTAAGTGTGTGTATATTGTTAGAACAAGAAAAATCAAACCAAACAAGCTGAGTAAATACCATGCAGAGGTAGGGTCTTTGGGGGGGGGGGGGGAGGGAGGGGGTAGGCATGTTCCCCTGAAGACCCCGGGCTTGCAAAACAAAAATTAAAAGAAACAAGAGAACATCAACAATATGAATGAAGATCTCTGCATATATAGAATAAACGCCGACCAAGAGTTAAGTAGATAAAAATAGGAAAAAAGGATATAAACCAAAATAGCATGATTGAGAAGGAACAAATAGGGACGACCTGGAATAATATTGTATCCTCAAACAAGGATAAAAGTGCTACCTAAGGAAAATCTAAAATGAATAATAAAGAACAGGTGCAATCTGTATAAATTAACAAGCACTTGCATGCTAACCTTTTGACCAACTTATGCAAAAGTTAGAAAACATTTTTGTTCTTTCTTTCATGAAGCTGGAGTTGGGAATTATGTGATTTCTTAGAGGTGTAAGTTTCGTGTTGCCATTGGAACTAAAAACTACTAAGGGGCGTTTGGTTTGATGGAATGGTTTTGAGGGATTTGGATTTTGTATAAGGATTTGGAATTGGGGGGTTTGAAATTTTTGGTGCGTTTGGTTTGTAGGATTTGGAATGGAATTGAATTCCATTATTTATAAATAATTTACAAAAACAAATTATAAATAATTATAAATGATTATAAAAATTATTAAGTTTCTTTTTTATTAACTGATTATTACAAAACAAATGTTTTAAACATTTTAAAACATTATTCTATACAAATCCAACAAAATCCCATGAAATACAAACCATCCCTATGGGATTTCAAAATCTTGTGATTGTGGGATTTCAAATCCATGAAATCTTCCAAACCAAACATGGGATTGGTTTGGAATTCAATTCCAAATCCCTCTAAATTCATTCCAATCCTACAAACCAAACTGGACCTAATCTTTTGTATATAAGTTACCAAATCCGCGTCGATACCACTTTAAGCATTTGTTAGACTATACGTTATGTTCCTAGTTTTAGTCCATAGACTATAAGCCATTAGCTTATATGTGTTTCAGTTGATGGCTTATGTATACTTTCCTATGCTAAGCTTTGCATTTTTTTGTCTATTATGTGTTTCTTGAAACTTATCTAATAGGCGGCACTGTTCCCTCATTCTGTTTACATTATTGGAGTATATCCAGTGACACTGGACTAGAAATATAACCTGTTCACGTACTTCTATAAAAACATTTTTGTGTAATATTGTAAAAGAGTGAATTGAGTTTTCTAACCATTGTACATGCACATTATCTTGCAAATTGATGATTTTACTTCTAATGCATAAAAAACACTAAAGCGTACAAGGGCAATGACTCTAACCATTTTACGTGTAGTTGGGTTGCCAAATAACGATTGTAAATGGCCTCTATCTCTAATCCTAACGTACTTTAATGTCGTTGCTAAAAAACTATAAGTTGATGGTTAGAAAGTTATAGTGAATGATTTTGTTTGTATAAGAAACATATATATCTTTATTTGTTTCTTCTATTTCTGCAGTACTTATATGACTACTTGATGACACTCATAGTACTTGGAAAACTTATGTGTTCCTTGTGATGGAAATCCATTGAAGTCTCCATGACCATGAGTGCTTTCATCCTTGCTTATGTTTATAACTTTATGCCGTTACAAATATGGATGGCTACGCTACACACAGTTCTACTTCATGAGTAAATGCAATAAATGCCTATGCACTCTAAATGCAGCAAAACGCCAAACAAAACAAAAACCAACGAACTTATGAGCAGCTCACACTATTCACAATGAGGTAATGACATCATAAGATACATCACATAATCATATGATGGGAAAGACAATCGAGTGACTGGGGATATTAACTAAAACTAGACTATAATTAAAATGCAATAGGTAAATGAACAATGAAAATGGAAGGAAATAATGAGAAATCAACCAGACATGGAGAAATCATGTCTACACTATGGTGTACCTTCGGTTCGGTTTACGTATAGGAAGAGGGGTAATTAGTGTAATTCCTTATATTCTGTGTTGAATAAGTCCTTGGGGGTATTTTCAGGTTTTCCTTTATCTTGTGAGTAGGAGCCTTTTTAGTGCACGGGAACTTCTGTTTGGGGTCATTCTGTTTTTTCTTCAATTCAGTTGTAACGAGCTTTGCTCTGGAGAGTCCATGGCCTCTCGAATGCCATTGTAGTGAATTCCTTTACGTATCAATTCAATTACAAGCTTCCGACAATAGTTTATAGCAAATTGGTATCAAAGCAGTCACGATCCAAGGATGGCGATGAGGAGTGTAGCAACAAGAGTTGACGATCTGGAGAGTAGCGTGGGATCAATAGAAAAAGGAATGCAAACGATTCTGGAGCAGATGGAGAGGATCGGGAAACAACAGGCATAATTCGTTAGTAAGATGAATTCGTCTGCGTCATCTGATGGAGATGCGGTCGGTTTTGGAGGAAGTGGTAAAAGAAATGGTGATAAACACGATCCTAATCGTTTTCTGGCAGTAAAAGAAAGGAGGTTAGAAATTCCAGTGTTTGATGGTACAAATCCGGATGGATGGATCCTGAGAGCCGAAAGGTATTTCTCGTTGAACCGATTAAGTCATGAAGAACAAATTGACGTTTCATTTACAACATTTGAAGGTGATGCGCTGAAATGGTTTCAACGGGAGAACAAACGTCATCCGATTGCGCGTTGGGAAGATTTGAAACGACTAATTCTTCGTCAATTTAGATCGCTAGCTTTGGGATCGTTATATGAACAGTTTTTGGCGGTGAAACAGGAGGGATTGATGATTATAGAAGAAAGTTTGTGGAATTCGCTGCTCCTCTGGATGGGATACCGGAAGAGGTATTTCTCAGCCAATTCATAAATGGATTGGAAAATTCGATTAAGTCCCAACTATGCCTATTGAATCCTGTTTCATTAAGTGAGGCGATGGAGACTGCTTCCAAAATTGAAGTAAAAAATAAAATGATCAGCAGGGAGAGGTCAATGTATATAGGAAAGAAGAATTCAAGTTCTGTATTCGAAGCTAAGAGCACCGGATTGAATTCCGTCTCATCCTCGGTCTCAGAAGTAAGTTCTGGATTGGAGTTTAGGAGATTATCGGATCAGGAGGTTCCGCAAAGGCGATTGTGACGAAAAGTATTCACCGGGCCACAAATATAAGAAAAAAGAATTGAATGTGATTCTGATCCAGGAGGAAGTGTGGAAGAAACTGATTCGGAAGAGGAAAAATTATTGAGTTCGGCTAATGTGGTCGATGTAGGACAAAAATTCGATGTTCATTTGAATTCAGTCGTTGGGATTACTAACCCGAAGACGATGAAAATGGAAGGAATTATTGGAGATCAGAAGGTGGTAGTACTCATAGACAGCGGCACGACACAATTTTATTTTGAAAGAGGTGGTTAATAAGTTGAATTTGGAAGTGAAGAAAACGAAAGAGTATACGATTACTATGGGTACGGGCAATACGGTGAAAGGAGAGGGCATTTGTTGTACTATAACGCTGTCAATCCAAAATTTAGAAATCGTGGAGGATTTTTTGCCTATACAATTGGGCAACAGTGATGTGATTCTAGGTATACAGTGGTTGGAAACGTTGGGAGCCACTTACATTAATTGGAAACAACAGGTAATGAAATTCACAGTCGGGGGAAAATCGGTGGCAATTAAAGGTGCTCCATCACTTGGAAGAACTAAAGTGTCGCTGAAAACCATGGGAAGGGAAATCCAACAGGAGGGACATGGAATTTTAGTCGAATTGGGTTCATGTGAAATAGAGAATGAAGAATGGGAAGAAATGAATTGGGGCTGGAATCTTTATTACAGGAGTTTGAACGGGTTTTCAATATGCCACATGGATTGCCTCCTGTTAGAGGAAAAGAGCATAGCATTGTGTTGAAAGATGGAACCGAACCAGTGAATGTGAGGCCGTATAGGTACCTGCATTATCAAAAAGATGAGATTGAAAAGCTAGTTAAAGAAATGTTGGAAACAGGAGTGATTCGGCCGAGTGCAAGTCCATTCTCAAGTCCTGTATTACTAGTAAAGAAAAAAGATGGGAGTTGGAGGTTTTATATAAACTATAGAGCCCTAAATAAGTCAATGGTGGTAGATAAGTTTCCTATTCCAGTCATCGACGAGCTGCTGGATGAATTACATGATGCCCGAGTGTTCTCAAAGTTGGATTGAAGTCGGTTATCACCAGATTAGAATGAACAAGAAAGATGTGCAGAAAACGGCTTTTCGTACTCACCATGGACATTAGGAGTTTCTCGTAATGCCCTTTGGATTGGTCAATGCGCCGGCGACATTTTTAGGTTTAATGAATGAAATTTTTGGTCGTTATTTACGAAAGTTTGTATTGATATTTTTCGATGACATATTGGTATACAACAAGTCTTTGGAGGAAGATTTAGTACATTTGAAGACTGTTCTTAACATTTTGGCCCTACAACAGCTTTACGCTAATAAGAAAAAGTGTGAATTCGGCCATGATAAACTCGGTTATTTGGGCATGTTATATCGGGTGAGGGTGTTGAGGTAGACGAGTCTAAGATAAAGGCTATCGTAGAATGGAAAGTTCCGACTACAGTTACCGAGTTACGAGGATTTTTGGGACTGTCCGGTTATTACCGGAAGTTCATTAAAGGGTATGGAATGGTGGCAGCTCCCCTCACAGATTTACTCAAGAAGAACCAGTTTCTTTGTACAGAAGCGGCCCAATTAGCCTTTGAGGAATTGAAGAAGTTCTTATCAACAACACCTGTTTTCAAACTTCCTGATTTTTCAGCGGAATGTCATCGAGACGGACGCTTCAGGGTACGGGTTGGGCGCTGTTTTGATGCAAAACGAGCAGCCCATAGCCTATTTCAGTCAATCGTTGGGATTGAGAGCAAAACAGAAATCTGTGTACGAAAAAGAATTGATAGCTGTAGTTTTTGCTGTATGTAAATGGAGGCTGTATCTGTTGGGAAGGCATTTTACAGTCCCTAATGACCAGCGTAGTCTTCGATTCCTGTTGGAACAAAGGGTGGTTGAACCAGAATATCAAAGATGGATGAGTAAGTTGTTGGGATACGACTTTTCGATTGTTTACAAACCAGGATGTGTTAACCGGGCAGCGGATGCTCTATCTCGGAAGAAAGATGATTTGGAATGTTCAAGTTTGGGGGAGCCACAGTGGAGACAATGGGATGATTTGAAACGTGAAATTGAGGAAGATGAATTTCTTGTGAAGTTAAAGGCTAATTTGTTGCAAGACACTATGACCCATAAAGGATTTGAATTACAACAGGGTTTACTGTTGTATAAGGGTAGGTTGGTAATACCCCGGACATCCAAGTTCATTCCTTTATTGTTTGAGGAGTTTCACGGATCTCCGACTGGAGGTCATACCGAGGCGGATCGTTCTTATAAGCGCATAGCTACGGAGATTTTCTGGGTGGGCATGAGGAAAGATATAAACGACTTGGTGAGAAGTTGTGAAGTTTGTCAACGGAATAAGACTTTAAGTGGCACTCCAGCGGGTCTGTTACAACCTTTATCACTGCCCTCTACAGTTTGGGAGGAAATATCAGTGGATTTTAATGAAGGCTTACCAAGGTCTGATGGTAGGAGCACTATTATGGTGGTTGTAGATCGTTTTAGTAAGTATGCCCACTTTTTTGGATTGAAACATCCATATAATGCTCAATCGGTTGCTGAAGTTTTTGCAAAAGAAATAATACGGCTACATGGAGTGCCTCAAACCATAGTTTACGATAGAGATAAGATTTTATAAAGTGCGTTTTGGGAAGAGATATTAAGCTACAGGTTCTAAACTCAGGTTTAGTACTGCATATCACCCACAAATGGATGGACAGACGGAAGCTGTGAACAAATGCTTAGAACAGTATTTGAGATGTTGAGTTTAGGACAGACCGAGGCAGTGGAGTAAATGGTTGTCTTGGGCTGCGTTGTCTTATAATACTTCATTTCATTCCTCACTTAAGTGTTCTCCTTTCTGTGTCCTTTATGGGAGAGATCCTCCACCGTTGATACGTTATAAATCGGCTTCCTCAAATTTGCAGTCTGTTGAACAGGAATTAATGAGCAGAGATGAAATTTGGGATGAGGTCAGAATGCATCTGTTGAAGGCTCAATGTAAGATGAAGCAACAGGCTGACTTAAAAAGAAAAGTGTGGTCTTTGCAGGTGGAGATTGGGTGCTCTTAAAATTACGTCCTTATCGGTTGAAATCTTTAGTACATGGAAATCAACCAAAGTTGTTAGCCAGATTTTGTGGTCCCTATAAGATCTTGGAGCAAATTGGAAAAGTAGCTTATAAACTGGAGGTACCGGTGGGAGTGAAGATACATCCTGTTTTTCATGTGTCGCAATTAAAGCAAGCTTTGGGCAATTATGCTTCTACAATATAAATTCCTATTCAGATTACGAAAGATTTGGTTCTTCAAGCAGAGCCGGAGGATCGGTTAGATATTCCCCCAATTACTCGAGGCGAATAGGGACAGTTGGAAGTTTTGGTGAAATGGAAAGGAATGTCTGAATTTGAGTCTTGGTAGAATTTACAAGCTTTGTTACAGCAATTTCCTAATAATCACCTTGAGGACAAGGTGAAATCTTTGGGGGGAGTATTGGTGTACCTCCGGTTCGGTTCACGTATAGGAGGAGGGGTAATTAGTGTAATTCCTTATTTTCTGTTTTGAGTAAGTCCTTAGGGGTATTTTCTGGTTTTCCTTTTATCTTGTGAGTAGGAGCCTTTTTAGTGCTCGCGAAGCTTCTGTTTGGGGTCATTCTGTTTTTTCTTCAATTCAGTTGTAAACGAGCTTTGCTCTGGAGAGTCCATGGCCTCTTGAATGCCATTGGAGTGAATTCCTTTACGTATCAATTCAATTACAAGCTTTCGACAATAGTTTATTGCAGGCTACTCATCTCAATGGATTTCTATCAAGTCAAGTAGTCAACTTTAATCATATAATCCAACCCATTACCCACCCTCAGTAGATAGCGCGATTAAAACATGAGTTAAGCATAGGTTTAAACTGTAGCATTGAAGCCCACCATTCTTACAATCCAGTGTGTGTTTGGCATAGTGGGGTGCTGCTCATGCAAGAATCACAAAATCATATGAAATATAATCTCATATTCATCAAGGAAAACACACATGTCATATTACAATATAATCCTAAATGAATTAAAGTGGAAATGGGAAAATTACAGAATAACTTGGAAGGAAATGATTGTGGGGCTTTGGCTCTCGAGATGATTTGAAGCTCCTGGCCCTTTATTGGTATCATTGCAGCAACCTGGTCTTTAGTTGATGACATCCATTCCATAGCTTTCGTCCTCAAATCAAAGTGTTGAAGGTTAGCTTCAACTTTGCACTTGCTCTCACCAAAATGGAGAGGATTAGAGACCAATTTGGCCTCTAATCACTAGTGGGGAGAAGATGAGAGGAGGAAGGAGTCCTGAGATTTGTGGAGAATGGTATATGGTTTTGAACATGGTCAAACTTTAGTATTTATAGGTCAAGGATGTGAAATTGGGTCAACTAATTTGCAATTAGTTTGATCCAAACAAGATTCAATCTGAACATGGCTTGTTTTCCCAAGAAATGGACTTTTCCATGAAGGTTGTAGGACTATGTTAGAAGCTGCGGGTAGCACTCGACGCACATCACTCTAAAAACATCAACGGAAGAGGTAATTTTAGGGTAAATTTTGAGAGAGAATAACTCCAATTTTAGTTTAAGATATTCTTCTCTTCTCAGATCTAGCTTTGATTTTTTTTTCTGCTATTGGATTTTTTTTCCTCTGTGCTGCTAGTCTTTGCTTATGAACTCTTATTTATGAGTTAGATCGCTACGTATGAATTTTTTCTTTGTTTGTTACAATGGACAGTTACTGAATTTTACAGCAATTATTCAATCATTTCATTTTCCCAAGTTCAATGTTAGCGAGATTAGTCAACTGAATTTTGGGTTGTTCGATCAAATAAGGGAAACTCAGGTGGAGAGGAAGCAATAAATTGGGGTTTGGTTTTCGTTCCCATTAATTACTGCTTAATACCTCTAACCAAACATTCTCTGAAATTTGACCACCCTATTCTCATGTACTTAGTTTTTCCAATGCTTCGTTCACTCTTAGCAATAATTATTTATGCCTGCTTATAGGCAGCGCTAGATACACAAAAAAATATGTATATTCTTTTTTCTGTTACTTTCTTAGTTGATGGTTAAAGTTTAGGATATAGAGCTCCACCCTGCAAGGAAAGATGTAGAAAAAGAAACTTTTAGGGTCCATCATTGGCAGGATTTAGAACTGGATTCCATTCCAATCCTGCGTTCGGTTTAAAAGAAAGTCTGGAATTGAATCCCACAAACATTGGATGTAGAACCCTCATAGGGGTAGTTGGTATTTCATGGGATTTATATGATTTCATAGAATTTGTTTGTAATAATGTTTTAAAATATGTTAAAACACTTGTTTTGTAATAATCAATTAATAAAAGGTTAATTTAATTAGTTTTATAATTTGTTTTTATAAAGAATGGAATTCAATTCCATTTTTTATTCTACAAACCAAACACACCAAAGATTCCACATCCCTCAAAAACATTTCGTCAAACCAAATGGGACCTTGTTAATTGCTTCCAAGACTACAAGCCCCAAGAATGATCTTCCTTGGTGAATGCTTGTTGGTATGTACCAACTTTTAGGTTCTGATTAACTTTTCATGGGCTTGGTGACACATGTTACTTCTACTGTAGCGACTACAAGCTAGCTTATCTTTTGAACATTTTGGAAGAGCACTATTGGGAAGCTATAAACTAGCTTATAAGCTAAAGGTACTTGAGTGAGCGTTTCAATAAGCTCCAAAAATCCTATCCATGTAGATAATTTACATTGTTGTCCATCTTATCAGCTTCTTTTACCAGATGACACTAGATGTTTCATTGACATTGACTTTATTTCTTTGTGCAAATCATTCACCAATTCTCGAAATAGTCATAAACCGAGAATGTGTGGAACTTAGTAGTTTGACATGGGTTCTTTATGCGCAGGTGGCAAGTAAGAAGAAAAGCATAGCAGATGAGGCAGGAATGGTGTTGCAAGCCAAAATGAAACAACTGGCTGCTGCATCATCATAAAAATCATATGGCTTGCTTGCTTATTCATGGGATTGTTTGTATTTCTATAACAAGATTAGTGACTAGACTTGAGAGATTGATGATATATATACAAGTCATTATATCAACTTTTTGATAACATTTTTTTATCAGTACCAGTTTCTTTCTCATATGAAAGGAGTACTATCGTCAAATTTGAAATTAATGGGGGTCACTTCAGGGCCCCATAGGATTGATCGAGATGGGTATCAACTGATCTAAACACCCATAGTTATAAAAAGGTTGGACGCTAGCACAGGTGGAAAGAGTCATTTCCAGAGGGACACTAGCACTAGTAGATAGAGTTATTTAAGGAGGGTTGTGGTTTGGTTCGATTCTTGTTTATATATTCAGAAAACCAGTTATTTTGGTTTGGTTTTGAGTTATATTTTTTTTTTTTTGTTTTGTTGCTAATATGAAGTATGATGTCAGTTTGGGTGTTTGTCTAAAGTTATGATTATTAGACAAAAAGTTTAGTACATTTTGGGTTTCCAATGTTCTGTTTTGAGTTGGTTTTCGCATCCGGATACCCACAAGTTATAAATAAAAACTAGCAGAGGACGTTTATGAAGTAGATGGTAGAAAACTACAACGGAATATTACATTGAATATTATGCCATAAAGAAAATCTTTTGGTTGCTTGTTGCTTGGTTTGGTGTCGTTACCAAGTTTTTATGTTTTGTTGCTTGGTTGGTTGTGGCGGTTTTGCCTGAACTTGTGTAGTTTTCGTCTGCTTTTATAATATTGGCTGGAGCTTTTCCTCTAAAAAAGAAGAAGAGGGTATATTAGGTGTCATGACACCAAAAAGCATAGCGTTCATCTTTTCGATTATTACTAACGGGGCCTCCACATCGTAAACAAATGAAGCTACTGCCATCGGAAAAGGAATCCACAATGACCTGCTTTTTTTCCTGTCTCCGCCAGTATCGATGTTCCACTAGCATCTAATTTAAATGCCGGATTATTGGATTCTGGTACTATTTAAGCTTCAACAATTGCACATTTGACAAACAAGGAAGCCAACATTAGCAACATTAGTTTCGTGTGAGACTTCTTTCGCTCAATTTAGGGCTTGAAAGGCTGCTACTTCACCTTCATTGGCTCTCATAACAAGAATAAATAATCGACAATTTGCACAAATAGATAACCAAAGAGCGTTACATTTGGCTACATATGCATATCATGATTATCGATGCAGGCATAAGCATGGGGGACAAAATGTTCCTGGAAGACCATGATGGCCAATAGAGGGTGTTGCGTTTAGACACATATAACTTTTGTCACGATATATCAAAATGAAGCTAAGAACGAGGAACATGCACTGAATAGGGCCTACGAGAATTTCGAGCCCAAAAAATCATATTGGCATGTTATGTTTGTTTCTTTTGGCCAATTTTCTCATTTCTCGTTTAGGCATTTTATTTTGGCCCATCCCCTTTCAAGCTTTTTAATTTTGAACTACGTAGATGATCAGTTGACGAATAATGCACGTTTCCCTTCCCATACAAATTTATGAGTTCTTTGAATTCAAATTTGTGCCTAAAACTAGGTAGTCATGGAATCAACAAGGCTTAAAAGGCTTTTCCGAGGTATTCATAGAATCAATAGGACTACATCAATTATCCTACACAACGTTAATTACCGATATGAACATACTCTTGCTACTTAGTGAGGTCAACAAGCCGCAACAAGGAAACTTAGTACGGTGCTGAAKGTTCAAATTCCAATGAGAAACAAAGATTTTAGGGGGAGTTTGATGTGCAAAATATTTTTTTGAAGAAATTGGAATGAAATGTTTTAATGTGTTTGGTTGACAGGAAATGAAATACCTGTTTGGTTATAGCTTAGCAGTTGCAATGAATTGTTGCTTGTATTACATTACCCCAAACATCATTTCTCTAATATAATCAAATAGACTACACAAATTAGCTTTGAAAATTTAATTGCTTGTTTAAACGATTCAACATATTTGAAAAAAAGGAAGACCTTGCGCCGCTCTTAGCCATGTGCAAACAATGGTTTTAATCATCTAAAGGGCCGTTTACTGGTAAGCATTTATCGGCAAGAGTCCCCACCCCCACTTAACTTATCAGATACCATTCTTGGCCATCAAAATGAATTATTGGTAAACGTCATGCTACCCGAAAAGATAAATGGCACCATGTAAATCTACCAAATTCTAATTTCTGGTAAAATGTAACAACTATTCATCAAGAGTATAGTCTCTTAGATATAACAATCAAGATTCAAGATCATAAGTGGTTTGTTAGTGCTACTGCATACACATAACACATGATGCATGTTTAAAGATTAATTGCTTTAAAAAGTAGAAGACACAAAAACGCCTATATCATGTGTTTTAGATTAAAACATTGCTTCGTAAAAATAAACTAGCTTATTTTCATATACATGTTTGGACGCACGTAAGTTAGTTTAGCGCTTTGATAGTTTATTGTCATTTTTTTTCAATTACAACCCTCATTAACATTAGTTATTATTTATTACTATTAATTATAGGTAAATTTTGATAAAGTTTAAATATTACTAATATTAATTTTAATTATATATTATACATTAATATTATTTACTAATTATTAATCATATCAATTATTTTCATATTACCATATTTTTAAAATTATTATTCAATAAAATACAAATATATAACAATGTTTATGTAACATAACAATTAAAGTTATACTACCGTTCGGGGAAAGAAGAAATCCTTTTGTYTCATAAAACGGTCGGAACAAAAGATGGAAATTCCTGAAACGGAAGCCACAATGGAGTCGGAACATTGATAGGTGCTACATATGCAACAAGAAGGGGCACTTTGCAAGAGACTGTAAAGACAAGAGAAAATCCCAAGTGCTGATTCAGACACTCAACCAAATTGAGTCTGTCGATATCTCTGATCTAGAGTCTCTCTACTCTCTTGATGATGAACTTAATGACCGGTCATTATGTTCAATAGCCTATTTAGACTCTTCAGATGAAGAATCTGAAACCGAGTATCATCCAGACATTGAAGTTTTTATGATAAAACCTCTCCCCGTTTTCCAAGCAAGCCATCTTCCTCTCCCACACGTCCCACATGTTTTACCCGTGCAAAAAACACAACCAGTTCCTTTAGCCAAGGTCCACCTTCTCACCACAACGTATGCCAAACCTATCTCGGTTGTCGCCTTTTTTGATACTGAGTCTTCTGTTTCAATATTGAACCCCGATATCTTACCCAACAGCTACTGGAGGCCACATCACCAACACTTTCTTCCAGCCAATGGTGATACTTTGTCATTGACAAAATCAATATCCCGGTTTACATCCGGCTCTTTCCTAAATGTGTGGTTAAACACAGATTATTAGGATCCAATTCGCATGGCAAGGACCTTCTGATCGGTTTCGACATACTCCATACACTACCAGGATTGAGGTATGCAGAACAGGGCCTACGGTACAAGAGTTTCCTAAATACATGGAGCTCTATTCCACGGCTCTATATGGCATCAGAGATCACTATGGATAGTCTCAAAGAGCAGATTATTCAATCCTCTTGCGCCCCAAATCACGTAGAGTTCTTAAAGAAAAGTGGATCTCCATTATGGTTAAACCCTTCATTTTTTGTTACACTCCCGTTCAAACAAAACAAAGATGTTAACCCCACAAGAGCAAGCCATCCAGGTATGAATCCAGATCACTACGAGCTTGCAATCCAAGAGTATTCTGAATTGGTAAGCCAGGATCTCACAGAGTCAACTACATCGCCATGGGCATGTGAAGCATTATATGTCAACAAGAGGAGTGAACAAGTTCGTGGCAAGCTTAGGCTAGTCATAAATTATCAACCCCTCAACTAGTTTTTGGCTGATGACAAGTTTCCTCTACCATAGAAGAAGTCATTATTCTAGTCTTTCGCAGATGCAAAGGTCTTATCAAAGTTTGATCTCAAAGCTGGTTTTTGGCAATTAGGGTTAAATCCTGATGACAGGCCAAAAACTGCCTTCTACATCCTGGATCATCACTACCAGTGGAAGGTAATGCCTTTCGGTTTAAAAAATGCTCCATTTGTCTTCCAAAAGGCAATGATAAGAATTTTTGAACCAATACTCAACAACACTCTGGTATACATCGATGACATCCTTCTGTTCTCACCAGACGAAAAATCTCACATAGATTTACTTGCCAGGTTTCGTTCCATTGTCAAGGAACATGGGATCATGTTATCCGAAAAAAAGATGGAAATCGGAGTAAATTCTATTGATTTTCTTGGTATGAAGATATCCGATGGACAATACCAACCACAACCTCACATTGCTCAAGAACTGCATAAGTTCCCAGGAATATTGACGTCACAAAAAGAAATTCAACAATTTCTTGGGCTGGTAAATTATATGGCAGATTTTTTGCCAAAATTATCGAGCCATACTGTGCATTTATTCCCCATGCTGAAGAAAAGTCCACCCCCATGGGGTAGGGAACAAACTTTAGCTATAGAAAGAATAAAGCAACTGGCTAATATGATGCATCCTTTAAAGATTCCTACTGTTTCTAACAAAAGGGTCCTCCAAACAGACGCAAGTGATGAGTACTGGGGGGCAGTCCTAATAATTCAAGACAAAACTGGTGTTAGAACAATTTGTGGATACAAAAGCGGCACGTTCAAAGAGTCTGAGCAACACTACCACTCTACTTTCAAAGAAATCTTGGCGGTCAAAAGGGGAATAGAAAGATTCCAATTCCATCTAATCGGTCATGATTTCCTGATTGAAATGAATATGTCTTCCTTCCTACGCATGCTCCATTTCAAAAGAAAAATACTCCCGGAAGCCAACTTTTGAGGTTGGCAAATTGGTTCTCTTAATGGAAATTCACTGTGAAACACATCAAAGGGTCAGAAAATATTCTAGCAGATTTTCTGTCCAGACCAAAGGGCTATAAATATTATGTTCCAAAAGACATCCAAATAATCCACAAAGCCAAGGTCCTTCCAATGGTATTTCCTATAGAGAAAGCAAACTCTTCCAGCTCGTCTATCCCAAACACTTCTCAACCACCTCTAGCTGAAGACGTCACAGCCTCACCGCAAGTCCTACCAGATGAAATAACAGATGGTAGAGAAAGGTCCCAGTTGAACTACAAAACCTTCTTCACTATCACACTGAAGAAGCATGGCCTGTTCATGTGAAACCTCCAGTTCCACCCAGATTACCCATACCTGAATGTCTTCTATATCCATGACTTACATAGGCTCCTAAAAGAAGCCCTTTGCTTCTTCTGGTATCTATTCAAGTCTCATACCATTGCAATATCGTTCAACTCAGCCAAACTACTCAGCTACATTTTCCAATGTCAGTTTGAGGGTCTGCCCCCAGG